GCGTCATATATTTTAGAAGATTAAGGCAAAATCGTATTTCCTTAACCATACTAAAAAATCGAAAATACAAATAAACGTTTTGTCGTAATTAAAAAATTAATTTATTTTATTTTCAGCTTGAAGATATGCTTCTATTTGTTTTTCACGACTATTGAACCGCATTTCAATGTGATTTGACTATTGTACAAAGAAGACAAATGTGTTTATCCATTTGTGAAGGAATTCGCGAATTACAACAAATAGGAATTCATTTAATTTATATTTGAAATACAAGATTTAAAACCTCTATAACTTTTGTGCGCAACATCCTAATTTGTTAACGCAAACAGATTTCGAATCAGCATATTTTTCTTAACCTATGTACCAAAAATCATAAATGTGCTCTCAAAAAAATGTTTCAACATTTTTTAAATGTAATTTTAAAAGAATTTTGTAAATATGCATATATTAACGCATTTTGACCGCTTTTCAATTTCAATTACAAAAACAACTGTGCATATAATGACATTTTTTTGACTTTTTCTACCAATAGGAATATTTAAAAAAGTCACCAAATTTTTCTGTGTATTATATCACAGTTGTTTTTGTATATATTAAAACAATTATAAAATTTTCTCCAAAATGTTCTTATTGTAATTTTTATTCAAACAATGAATTATTATTTTTTTTTTCGTTTTCCTTTGTGACAGTGACATTTATTATCGGATTTTATCACATCGATATAAAGTGATTAACCGAATGCTGCTTTTCAACCGCAATCAACATATTCACGTCAATGAAACAATTATGGAATACATGAAGTGGAAATGATAGTCGAATGAAAACAAAAATCTACGGACGACCTATTATCAATGCCATCAGAATGCGAGAACAAATTGAATTGGGTTTAATGCAATATTGCGGCATAAGTGTCATTATGTTTTAAGTGAGTTAAAACCTCAATATGCAGAAGTGTTAAGGGTCATGGAAATTGATGGACCCTTCAAGGGATTTAATAATCACATGACCACAGCGATAATAACTGTTCAGTCAAGTCAAAATGCCGTATTTATTTATGGCGAAATGGGAAAAATTTTGGGATATTTCATATTCTGATATTGGATCAAATGGTATTATGTGTCAATTTATTTCATAGGATTTTTATGAACACCACCGTAAGGAGAAGTATATATTTCCAAATTTTCATTGCGTTTACATCACCTCGAAGTATTTGCCAGAGACCACATAAAATATATATTCTTGATCAGAATAAAATGTCGGTTTATCGATGTGCATCTGTCTGTCCGTTCGTCTGCTGAAATCAGGAAAGAACTGATAATATTGAAGAAATATTATTGCTTGGAAATATTGTACAGACGTTACAACAAGGATGTTTGTGTTTTATGGAAGCCCCCTAGTTTAGTATTTAAAGGATTTTATGCTTTAATTTGGGTTTTCTTCTTACTAAAAAAATAATAATGTATTTTTTAACGTTTTTTGTATAACGGTACACTCCCCTTCCCGACCAATCTTCGGTATTTTGAGACTCTTCTTACGCAATAAATAAATTTAAATAAATTTAAATTTAATTATTTTTTGGTGTTTGGAAGTATTGAGTAGAAAATCTTCATATTAACCTAGCCCCAAAAGTACGAATTTTCCCAATGTTAGGCATTTTGGTGTATTTGAACACGCTTATAACCTTCATTACACTATGATACAGAGTATTATGTCTTTGTGCATATATAATATTTGTAACATTGCAAAGAATCAATTTTGCACAACGCACTGAAGTTAGTATAACTAACGTATCCAATGTTTTGTTGAACTCTGTTCAGATTTTTATATAGCTCCCATATATCTTTGTCTGATTTTAAACAAACGGTAAACCGAAGATCAAAACTATCTCAACCGTACTTTCAAATAGTAATTCATAGTATGTCAATATTTAAGAATTCCAGCTCTATATGTTCACCAAGATCTAAATTGAACCAGATTTGATACCATTCTGTACTTTTCGTACCCATATTCCAAAACTATCTCCATCCTGCACTCCGACAGTAATTTTAGTTGGAACTTTCAGGATTATACCAAATTTAGTAATTTTCGTACCCATAAGTACGAAGTAAAAGCCAACACTAATTTTAATTCCAAATTTCAGGTTCTCAGCCCTATCAGTTCACAAAAATCCGAATTGTACCAAAGTTAGTACCAGTTACTACTTTCTGTTACCATAAGTACGAATTTTCTAAACTTCCTCAATCCTACGCTCCAACAGTATTTTAATTCAAAATTCAAGTTCATATATATTCGTTCACACATAATTAAGTTGTACCAAAGATAGCACCATTTAGTATTGTTACTATACTTGCATACCTAAATTCTACATTCCAACAGTAACCATTATTCCAAATTTCAGGTTTTCAGGTCTATCCCTTCACCCAAAATCACAATTATACTAAATTATTATAAATTATTATACCACAACAATAAATACGAATCCTCCACTCCAACAGTCATTATAATTTCCAATTTCAAGACTCTATCTGATCACCTCCATCCAACTTGTACGGAATTTAGTATCATTTAGTACTTTTCGTACACATAGGTACGATTTTTAAATATATAACATTCCAATATTCTAGTTATATATGATTAATATATTTACAACCAGTGACCATATGATACCCTACACAACTTCCACAAAAATCTAACTTTCTGTGGTTCTATATTCTGAGCTAGGGCAATATTTTGCACCCTCTTGATGAATAGTGGTCAACCAATATTACTAATATTCAGTACAACTCTTCTAATTACTTCATCAAATTTTCTTCACCGTGTGTTGTGTTGCGATGTCCGGCTTTCAATCAATTTCGACTCGAAAAAAATACAAAAAATTAAGTTCTCGATCCAGTTCATCCCAATATTATTATCTGGTCCTCACCGAAAATTATAGGCGTTGTCCTTGACCATACATGAATCCTCATGGAAAGTTTCAAAGCGATCAGAGCTATATTTCGGTCCTCTAGTGTGGTAATGGGTTGTGTAACTCCCACATATAAGAATATACGAATATATAATTGGTATCAATTTAAAGGTCAACCACTCCTCTTGGATATACTATCAACTTCTCGGGTCTATGTCCTTCGGGAGTTAATATATACGCCATAGAATAAAAATTTTGTAATTTTTCACACAAAAGTCAGGGTCCATTTGACCCGCTAAATACTGACCAAACTTTATAAAAACAGGCATGCTTGTACATGGGTACAAAAACGATGTTCGGGCCATAATTGCGGGCTCTGGAGCGACCAGAAAAACCGACAAAAATTTAGTATTTGGTCCATTTCATCCCCTATATATTAACTTACTTAACACTAAGCTCTTTTGGTGAACAAATAGTCAAATTGTGTTAGCCTAACGTGGGTCCACTTTTGTTGAAATAGGTTCAGATTAAGATGCACCAAAGTCCACACGTTTGTCACCAAATTTTGCATAACGTTTAAAACTGAGCCTAGATCGGTATACTTGAAGGTGGATACATATATATATATATATATATAATTTCGTTAGCGCAAAAAGGCGTTACAAAACTAATTGTGGGGCTGCAAAAACTGCTTTAATACCCTGACAACATTGTGTGTGTATGCCCGGCAGGGTAATAATATGAGAAATTAAATTTTTTTAATAATGTTTAGTTATTTAGTACACTTATAAGTCATAACAAAAGTAAAAATTTGAGTTTTTTTCAAGTTAGCTTTAGCCGTTTCGCCTGGGCAATGCTATGTTTGTCAGTGACTCACTCACTTAACACTAAGCTCTTTTGGTGAACCAAATAGTTAAAAGTTTGGTCAAACCATGTAGTTTTGTTGACATTCACAATATTCATTCAAAAAGTCAATTTTCAATTTTTTGTTAGTTACGCCTTTTTGCATTTTAGCTGACGATATATATATATATATTATATAACTCCCATATATATTTTCGATCGATTTCATGTTAATTGTGCTCCCAAATAATCGACGGGTGCCCGACTGAGATTTTGCCCAGTGCGCTGTACTGGAACATACTGAATAGCGTTGAATTAACGTTTGCTTTATATCGATGTCCATAATTTGACCCATTGCAAAAAATCAAAATCTATCCGAATAAAATGAAACGGTGGAGGACATCATATAGTCGGCCCGTCTAACTTTACTACTTTTCCTAATGGTTTTCTTAATGACACTCAATTTTTTATTATAATTCCAAGTTAAGTATAAAATCCGTGCCATACATATATAATTTATTCTGCGTTGCAATACGATACTTAGATAACTTCTTCCCAAAGTGGTGTAGGGTATCATACATTTGGTTCCGACCAATATCGGTCCATTCTTATTGTTTTCCATTATTATTCATTTTTTATTTGGAGTCATGGCTTTCATCGAGACGCACATGTTTAACTACATATGCATTCTTTAGTTTACACAAACTTATACTAAGTTATTTATTTACAATATATGAAACTTATTTGTAATAATTGATAAAAATATTCAATTTTAATCAAAATTGCTTATATATACCTGCATAGGATCTTATAATTATAATACTATTTACAGATCACCAAAACGTATACTTCATTTTTAATTAATGACACAACAAAATATTCTTCTTAAATGTTTAAATTTCAACATTGCAGCTCTATGACCAAAGTATTATTGATTTGAAATTTTAGGACCAATAATTGTTATACTGTTTTGTTATAATATTAGTACTAAATACACACAACCACAAATACATATTTTTTACAGAACTGTGTATCACAAAGATGGTAGCTTCATTTGTTCTAAGCATATATGAGCACGATCTGATACATCCAATCGGATGATCGCAATGACTTCCTGTAAATACAAAAATATTAGTACTGAACTTTTAAATACTTTTTGTACAATTTTACATTATATCATTAACAAAACCCAATTTTAAGGCTTTACTGTATGAGTTATATATTGTGAGCCACAAAATCCAAATTCCATTTTCTACCAAATACGACATTTATGGCCTCTGGGATTCATTCCCGATCCTGGCGGACACTGGAAAGTATCAGCGAATTCCTGAGAATTTGTAAGAACGCCCTTCAAACGAAATCTTCCTGGGCAGTGGGAATCCTCAACGGCATAACGTGATGCTGCCGGTGTATATGCTTCACACCACAGATTTCCAAATGATATGAAAAATAATTGTTCATGGCTGTAGTGTTCCAAACCGGGCAGTCGCATTTTCTCCCTACCATTCTCTTTTATAAACAGACGATAGGCATGAAAAGCTTCACGCATTCCACCATTGTCGGCAATATTTTCACCTAGTGTTAGTTCGCCATCGATCTGTAACAATTTTGGTTTGTAGAATTAGTAGGGTAACAAATATTTATTTTTGAATTACTTACATATTCCTCAATATCATCCAAATAATAGCGACTATATTGTTCAACAAAACATTCGGTTCGATTAACATATTCGTTAATAGTTTCATTTGACCACCACTGTACCATGTTGCCATTTTTGTCAAACATTCGCCCACTGTCATCGAATCCATGAGTCAGCTCATGACCTAATATGGTGCCGATGGAACCATAATTTAGAGCCCTAACGAGAAAATAATACTTTTAAATTACATTGGTCTGATAAAATCATTGAAGATAATAAAACTATGTAAAAATGGAGTGCATGTGCTTCCACAGAAAATCTTGTGAGAATGTGCAAAACAAACAAAAAATAATAATAATTCAATTTGTAAGTCTAAAAAACAACAACCATTGTTCGCGTTTGAGCCAAAGTCAATCATCACCTCTGACTGAAATGTTTTTGAAATTAACTAGATCATACATGGATCGTTAGATCATGTCATACCGATATTCTGTGCCATACCATCAAGTCTGCGTCGATATGAATTGAGACAGCTGTTCTATGTCTTCACACTAATGCTCTTACTCTATATATAAATCAGGAAGATCTATAATGACATATATCGATTAAGAATGCCAACTCATAAGGTGGTAACACCCAAACAGATACTTCAGTGGACCCTGTTACATGTGGTGTATTCTTGTAATTTGGAGAATTCCGTAACTCTTTTGAGGCTCATAAAATCCCATTAGAAAAATAGACGGGGTCCACACTGTTGTAGCATTCGCAATGTATTCCACACCGCAGTACTTCTGTATCGTATATTGCATTTTACAGATTTCAATATATGAACGATTGTAATACGACAAACAAATCAGAAATCAAATATTGTTGCTTCCGCTATGTTACCCTCCACCATAAGGATATACTGATAAATGCTTCCAAGTAGATTTCAAACCCAATGGCAACCAAAGTACTAAATTGTATCCACTTAAGTACTAATTTCTAAAACTTACTGTATATCCCAATCCTATACACCGATAGTAATTTTATTTCCAAATTTAAGGATTCCAGCTCTATGGGATCACCTAAATCCAAATTGTATCAAATGTAGTGCCTTTACAAATTTCCATTATTACTTACAACATACTATCCAAAAGAAATGTTATTTCCCAATTACAGGATTTCAGTCCTATCGAATTACCCTAAATCTAAATTGTACCAAATTTAGTGTCATTTATACATACTTATACACATTTAGTGTCATTTATACACATTCCAGCACTATCGGTTCACCCAAATCCAAATTGTACCAAATTTAGTACCATTTAATATGCATAACTACGAATTTCCAAAACTACCTACATACCTCAATTGTAGAATGCTGTAGTAATCTTATTTCCATATTTCAGTGTTCCAGCACTATCGGTTCACCCAAATCCAAATTGTACCAAATATAGTACCATATAGTATTTTTCGTATACACAAGGACAAATTTCCAAAACTAACACAGAACCCAAATTCATCCGTTCCTCCAAATTCAAATTGTACCAAATTTAGTATTGTTCATATTCATTTCATATTTATTTTTCCACAGACGACTTTAACCGAACCAAAATACCTATATATATTCTATTGAGAATCCAGAACTCCAAACATTTCATAAAATATAGAAAATGGAGATAAATGAAAAAAACTAAAATGAAAATGTTTTACAAGTGCAACAAAAGTTGTGTAGCAATATCCTTGGTGCTTGTATTAGTTGCTAATAAAAATCGAATGCATAAATTCATCAAATACTCACTCTAATCCTAAATCGTAAAAAGGATATTGCAATATTGCAATTGGTATCGCTGGAAATATCAAAAGCATTAATAAATGGAAATAACATTTTGATTTCAACACATTTGTGATTGACACATCTCTAAACGTTGCAAGTTAATTTCCCTGATATACGTATTTACATTTCCACGAACAGGTAAATAAAATCGAATTTAATTTAATGGCATTCAGACATGCAACAAGCAAACTAGACACACCAACCCACCCATTCCGCGCACGCACACCCCCTCACACATTCACATACTTACTTATGGCATTCGCTTGAAATGTGTGAAATGCGTTGACATTCGACGGCGATGTGGCCCAGCCGAATGGTTCAGGAACATTTAGATTATTCAGCTTGATTTGCATTTGCCAACGCAAAACACCAACCATATTTTCGAGATGTGTCGAAGCATTGACATGCACATCCTCGTAGAACTCATCGAGCGCTGTGGCGTTGGTTAGCCATTCGGGATAGCCAATGAAACTTTTCATTTCCGCAGACTTTTGCAAAGTCTCGTATTTCGTTGGCCCATCCATCCATGTCGTCGAACGTACCAAATTGTTAAACGATCTTCGTATATCGTTCAGCATACGACGTACGTTTGGCAATTTGTGACGCGTGAAGTCGTCATCTGCCAATGCATAGCTGACCGCCATGCCCATCAGGCTGTTGATGCCATGGGCACAGTAAATGGAGCGCGGCGAATTGCCTTCGGTGCCAATCACCAGACGCATGTATTCGGCATGTAGCAGACGCATTTCACTGGTCGTATGTAGGATCAGCTCTTCCACCGCACTCAGCCACAAATAGAACTCGAGATGTGCGGTTGGTATTTCCAGCAAATACTCGGCAATTGTCTGCATGTACAGAATGTCTGCATTGCTGGTGATTATCTCAAGCTGAGAGACATTGAAATTTGCATCGCCATTGGATGCGTTGGCAAACATCTGCTGGAGGTATGGCTCCCAGATGGGCAGTGTTTTGGGTGATGTCAAAAGTTTGTCTGTTTGATTTTGTAAATCTTTAACGGATATGTAAACCAAGTCATCGATGGGATTTTTAGAAGATTGTGTGGCATTTTCTGCATTGCTTTTGAGCTGAAAAGAATCGGCACAGAGTAGTGGTAAAGTATCAAAAGGATAAAAAATATAAATATATTTTTCCACAAACCTTATAGATTTTTCTTGCCACTTTTACAACAGCCATTGTCATAGCTTCAGCGCTATCATCGGTCTCCCCGGGTGTCATATCCGGATCCAAGTAAGACATATAGACTTCGATGATTTTCTTTACATACGATACATAGGCATGTAAACCGCTGTTGGTCTCTTTGGTTGCGTCAGCTTCTTCTTCTTCCCGACCTTCAATATCCATATCATCATCGTTGTCATCTCCACCGAAAATGGTCTTTTTTCGTACCTTGTGCAGGATTTTATGGACATCGTCGTTATTACTGAAATATTTATTTTGTGATTTCAAAATAAAAAGAAGATCTGTTAATGGATTGGATTTAATTTACTTACAAAGGCAACGCAGAATCTGTTTCTGGTGTTCCCAAGGCAATGCGGTTTATTGTCCGATTTAGAGGATCGGGGAAAATATCAAACCCAATAATCAAATCCATACCCAGGTGTTTCTTGATTAAAACCACCGACTCCAACCAATTGAACTTTGACGTTGTATTGTATTTCTTTGCACTTTCCGGTGAGAGGGTTACATTCAGTCCACGAGGTATTAGGGGTAGTTTAAATTCATTGAGGAAATATACCAACGGTTCCATTTCTCGTTCCTCCAATTGCTGCATATCCATGCAGGCCTTATACATAAGTTTTGCTTTGCCCACTGCGTCTGGTTCGCTGGTAGAGACATTTTTGTTCAGGAAATCTCTCAGCTCGCGCATAATTTTCGCTTGTCTCTCACGAAACCAATCGTTTGAGGTCACAGTTTCGGGTCGCGGATGTTCATGTGACCAACGGCCACAGGTAAATTGGTAAAAGTCTTCACAGGGATCAGTCTCTTCGTCCATAGAGTAAATAAGGCTAGCCGAAGTCCGGAGACATTCATTTGTGCGGCAGATTGTATTTATTGATTGGTTGTCTGAAAGTGGGTACATAGTTTAGATTTTTGACAATTTTAACAATATTTCTGTTGTTTGCTGTACTTACGCAATAAAGCGGCTAAAACTATTATGGTAATGAATAAAATAATAACGAGTATTATGAGCACTATGAAAATAGTTTTGTGAAAATATTTCCGTCGAAACCTGTAAATAATATTGAGACGGGTCATTTTATCAAAACCACGGTATAATTTCTTAGTTATAAAAAATAGTTAACTAAAATAAATAAGTCTTCTATTAATCTTAATCTAATCTATTAATCAAATCTTAATCTATTAATCAAATTGAGAACGGCTGGACTGATTTTCTGAATTTTTTTTGGTTAATTGTATTGTGCCTGGCGGCGAACAATGATCTAAGAACTAAGACAAAATAACATTACAGGGGAAAATGCAAAAACAACGGAAACTAACCTGAAACTAACTTCCAAGCTTTGTGGAAGTCTTAAGATCCCAAGAGGAGTAACAGGAAAAAAAACACATACACTGGTGGCCAAAACTAAAGCAACTAAAATTGCGAAGATAATTGCATAAGAAATAAATATGGAAAGGGAATTGTCTCAATTTTTACTTGGACAAAACCAAAGCCACTATACTGTGCAAATAGGTGAGCTCTAAAATGTTAGTTATTTTTACCATTATAATTACCAGGTATTGGTTTCTACACCTATTTCGATTCTTACAGATCATTTTTAAAAAGATTTTATTACAATACAATGTGCATGTTTATATAAAAATGAATAGCTAATTACAGATTGTGAAAATAATTTGTCACAGAAAATTATTTTGGAGAAATATTCCATAAATCTGTGATTTCTCAAATTTTAAGATGATTTTATGCAACTATGTTAGTAGTAGCAGTTCATCACGGAGGGAGGTCGCGAAAAATATCAGTTCATATCGAACAAAAAATTGTTATTTTAGTAAAAAATGTCATTATACCCTTCACCACACTGTGGTACAGGGTAATATGTCTTTGTGCATATGTTTGTAACAGGCAAAAGGAAACGAGATAGACACATGGTTCCTTTTGAGAATATGCATAGAATCACTTTCTAAGTCGATTTATGCATGTCCGTCCGTCTGTCTGTCTGTCCATGTATTTTTGTGAGCAAAGTACAGGTCGCATTTATGATCCGAATTGGATGAAATTTGGCACAGCTCATTTGTTTGGCCCAAGGACGAACCCTATTGAAATTGGGAAAAATCGGTTCAGCTTTAGATATACCTCCCATATATATATTTAACCGATTTAATGTAAACGGTCCCTATATATCTTTCGATTTGCACGAAATTTGGTACAGCATAATGAATTAGGTCTAGAATGATGTCTGCCAAGTTTCGTGAAAATCGGTCAAGATTTAGATATAGCTCCCATATATAGTTTCGTCCGATTTCATGTAAATAGTGCCCCAAAGTCCCTATATATCTTTCGATTTGCACGAAATTTAGCATAACGTACTGAATTAAGCCTCGAGTGGTGTCTGCCAAGTTTCGAGAATATCGGTCCAGATTTAGATATAGCTCCCATATATAGTTTCGTCCGATTTCATGTAAATGGTGCACCAAAGTCGCTATATATCTTTCGATTTGCACGAAATTTGGTACAGCCTAATCATTTAGGTCTAGAATGATGTCTGCCTAGTTTCGTGAAAATCGGTCCAGATTTAGATATAGCTCCCATATATAGTTTCGTCCGATTTCATGTAAATGGTGCACCAAAGTCGCTATATATCTTTCGATTTGCACGAAATTGGGCATAACGTACTGAATTGAGTCTAGAATGATGTCTACGAAGTTTCGAGAAAATCGGTCCAGATTTAGATATAGCTCCCATATATAGTTTCGTCCGATTTAATGTAAATGGTGCACCAAAATCCCTATATATATTTCGATTTGCACGAAATTCGGCATAACGTACTGAGTTGAGCCTAGAGTGATGTCTGCCAAGTTTTGAGAAAATCGGTCCAGATTTAGATATAGCTCCCATATATAGTTTCGTCCGATTTTATGTAAATGGTGCGCCAAAGTCCCTATATATCCTTCGATTTGCATGAAATTTCGCATATCGTAATGAATTACGTCTAGAATGATGTGTGTTAAGTTTACTGAAAATCGGCCCAGATGTAGATATAGCTCCCATATATAATTTTGTCCGATTTAATGTCAATGTTGCACCAAAGTCCCTATATATATTTCGATTTGCACGAAATTTGGTATTGCGTAATGAATAAGGTCTAGAATTATGTGTGTTAAGTTTCGTGAAAATCGGTTCAGATTTAGATATAGCTCCTATATATTTTTTCTTCCGAGTGTGTGTAAATTGTGCACTAAAGACCCAAAGTTTGTCTGATTTCCACACAATTGGTACAATGAACTGTAGTTACTATAATACATTTCCTTTACATTGCTTTATATAATTTTGTCCCATTGTAAGAAGCAACCCTATATCTGACCAAATGAAAACTTTAGTGTAGGTTACAGAATGACATGTTTATGGATCCATTTTCATGTTAATGGTCCTTCAAAAATTCGACGTCTGTTATGATTCATCTGTTGAATATACCCAAAGTGGTGAAGGGTATCATATAGTCGGCCCCGTCCGACTTTACTGCTTTCCTTACTGGTTTAAATATTATTTAAGATCCGATTGAGACAAATCTGCCATTATACCCATGGTGGAGGGTATAAACAGTTCAGTCCGGCCGAAAAGCCAAATATAACATTTAAAATGTTTATAGAGAATTAAATAAATGTTCCTATATAAAGAATATATATTACTCCTCAATTTTTCTGTCCTATAATTAGTGTGAGGAACTAGAATATCACATTGTCACTGATTTCGGTCACCTTACTATTAAAATGCAATTATTTCAAATGGAAATTTTCTGTAATATATTCGATTCAATCGATTTCGTACTCACCGTGATTCCACCCCCACGAAATTATTGTTTGGATAGTGATGTAGGACAGGTGGTGATTTTGTTCCATTATTATTTCGGTTGGCATCGTCCGACGCAATGCCATTACCACTGTATGCTCGCGTGGAAGTGTGACCGGAAACCGGAGTGTGAACACTTAAATCGCCTAAAAAAATAAATATAATTTCATTAATAACTATTGTGTGAGTGTCATTGCTTTGATTGTATGTCCTGTACAGAATGTACATTCGTGCGTACATACAATGTCATTCCTATAAAATAATTGGTTTACAACATTACTATGAAATACAAATATTTCTGTTTATTATTTTCTATACCACAACAGATGGACACATTTCAATATAAAACACATATTAATTATTTATGTGAGCTTGAATGTGGACAGTGGTTATCAATGATTTAATTGGTAAAAAAAACACCTGATGAATTTCAGAAAAATTTTGATATCCATACTTGTAAAGTAATAAGAGTTTAATCCTTATAAAATTTTCAAAATTAATAAGTATATTGTTGCCACACTAATCATAATTGTGGAGACTTCTTCTAAAATTATACTCGGAATTTATGCTAATAACATTTTCCAGCTATAAATGGATCCTAGCAACATTTGCATGCCGAAATTGATATAATTTCATGTACTCAAAGGTTAAAACACTTCCTCGCCATATTGTTACTAATTCATGTTTGAACATAGCTCCCATTTACAGGTACCAGGTTTTCAGTACACTAGAGCCCCGACTTGCGTCGTTAATGGGGACCGGAGAATCGTGATGCAACTCAAAACGATGCAAATCGAATCACCTTTTTCTATACATATACAAAATGCACTGAAATTTAATTTACTGGGGAAAATATTCAAAACAAAGCAAAAAATTTTATATTTTTGATAAAAAGCAAGTATGAATACATTTTTATTTATTCCATTTACTTCAAAAAATGTATATAATTATTTTAAAACAATAAATTAAGAAAAAACATAACAAAAATTAAATTCATTTACATATGTATGTATACATACTCTCTTCAGATGATAAACCTAAGTCAACAACACATGTTCTTACTGTGTTTTTTTTTTAACAAAAATGTCTAAAGTTTGTTGAATTTTCGTTCGGTGATATATTTTGTTGATATATATTAGTTTTTGTCAGGATCGTTTTCAGAAAATATATCCATTGCAAGGGAAAATAATTGCATAGCTTTGGAAATATTGGTGATTGTTAATTTTTTCTTCTACTGTATCATCACTAATTACGACATCTTCTGAAAGATGCTGAATATCAATAGCTTATTAATTGAGACAACAAAAATTCAATAATATCACATTCCTCCATTCCTTCCAATTCGGCTTTTCTAGCTAAAATAGACAACTCATTTATAGTTTGAAATTACACCCTGGTCCATAGGTTGAAAAAGTGATGTTGTGTTGGGCGACATAAAAACAACTTTTACATGCTCCGATAAGTCATCTGAAAAAGTTGGAAGTCCTGGTGCGTTATCGACTAATAAAAGCATTTTGAACTCAATTTGTTGGGGGTAAAAATAGCGTTTAAACTCGGGACTGGCACAATTTTCTAAACAATCTTTAAACAGGGTAGGGATCATCCAAGTCTTTTTTTAAAGCCCAGGGTACCGCGAGGTCTCTGATGTTTATACTTTTCATTGCCTTGGATTTTATGATTGGTATATCAGGAAAGGTTTAAATTTAACATCTCCTTCTGCGTTTCCGCCCAAAAGAAGTGTTACTCGATCCTTAGCTGCTTTATATCAATGGCATGCTTTCTCATGTTTTCACGAGTAAGTTCTCGAAAGTTTCCAAAAAAGGCCTGTTTCGTCGGCATTCAAAACCTGCTTAGCAGAATACCCTCTTTTTCAATAATGGCTTTCAGCTCAAGTTTAAAATTTTCTGAAGCTGGTGGCTGTGTCTCCTTTTAATGCCACATTATGTAAATTAGCCCGTGTTTTAAAGCGGTTAAACCAACCCTTGCTGACTTCGAAAGAATCAGAATTTCCGTTACTACTAGATGCAATATTTTTTTAAGGTCGGAGTAAATAGAAAGTGCATTATTTTTTATTACGTCCTTGCTCAGTGGCATTCTTCGCTTATTTTGATCATGTATACAAATTGAGAGAAGGGACTCCATCTTAACCAATAAGGGATTTCTTGCTACAGTATATTGTTTAGATTGGAGTGGTGTGACAATTTCAGCTAATTGATTTATTTTATCACTTACTCTGTTGCAAATTGTTTTTACTGTTGTAGGGGCTAGTCCAAGGACTCTTCTTATATTAACTGCCTTTTCTCCCGATTTAAAACGTTTTATTACGTCCAATTTTAATTCCACACTTATTAATTTTCTTTTATTTTGACTCATTTTTTACGTCCTTAATGTATTCTGGCGAATAAAATGTTATATCGCTTTAGATATGCCGATTTTTCCGTCTGTTGTCACGTTCCGTCTGAAATCACGAAAGGGAAGATGTATTCGCACATATTTTGCTACCGGCAGGTTCCGGTACGTCCCAATTTTATATTTTGGGCACGAAACCTTGGCTTTACAAATGATCAATATTGGTCCATATTTCGTCGTAGCCCACATGTAGCGGTATCCCCATTATTCCGCATTTTGGGGTGTTTGGCATTTGGCGCATTTATCAACCAAATTTGCTGTGCAATTTTAATATTTTCTATATCAACCAGTAAGGAAAGTAGTACAGTCGGATGTAGGAGTCGCATTTTTTAAGGACTTTTGACATGAAATTGGACTAAATGAAATATTAGATCTGTATTTATATGTGAACCGACTAACATCAATCCATAAATATGCCTTTCTGTAACCTATGGTAAATTTCATTTCATTCGGGCAGATTTAAAGTTCTTTAAATCTTGATACATGCTATTCGGTATGCTGCACTGTTCAAAATTTAATCTCAATCAGACACCCCTTTGAATTATATATGGAAGCTATGCTTGCATCTGCACCAATTAAAAAAATGCAATAACGTCATTCTAATCTCAATTTGATACGTAGTGTAAAAAATTCGTGTCAATTAGACAAACATTAGCAGTTTTGTGCACCATTTACCAACAAACGAACGAAAATATATATGTGGGAGCTATACCTAAATCTTAACCGATTTTCATGAAACTTAACACGCATCATTCTAGACGAAATATATATATAGGGACTTTGATACACCGTATACATTAAATCGGACGAAAATATGTATGGGAGCTATATCTAAATCTAAACCGATTTTCACGTAACTTAACACACATCACTCTGGACTCAATTCAGAACGCTATGCCACTTGGTGCACCATTTACAATAAATCGGACGAAAATATGTATGTGGGATATATAAAAATCGAAACCGATTTTCTCCAATTTCAATAGGGTTCGTCCTTGTTTCAAATAAATGAATTGTGGTAAATTGCATCTAATTCGGATCACAAAAATACTTGGACAGACGGACATGCATAAATCGACTCAGAAAGTGATTCTATTTATATTTCCAAAAGGAACCATGGGTTTATCTCGATTCCTTTTGCCTGTTACAAGCATATGTACAAAGACATAATACCCTGTACCACAGTGTGGTGAAGGGTATAAAATTATCAATAACGGTCCCCGTTTTGGTACATCCCCCATATATCGTATTTGGTATTTGAAGGATTACCGACATCTTTTTCAACCGTTGCACTATTTTCGCTATTTGTCCAAGGTCCTATCCCAACCAGACTGTCTGTAGTTTGTATTTGCATACAATATCCTCACCGTATGGTAGTTCTATTGATATATTGCAGTACTCGTCGAATTCATTTTAATTAATTATAAGCAAAAGAGATCCCTATTTTGGATGACCCACTACATTAAACCTATCAGAATGTATTTTTATATCCTCCACCATAAAGTGAGGGTTATATTAAATTTATCATTCCTTTGCAACACCTCGAACTATTCACCGGAATAAAATGATCACAATAAAATTCAATGTCGATGCAGTCATGTTCGTATGTCACAATTGGAATGTTCATATGATAATACAAACCCATTTTTGGCATAGTATCCATAGGTTTTGCCGAATTTCCGAACTTCCTCATTCGGTGTGCAAATAACTTGTTTTGAAAATGATTTTTCTCTGACACATAGTCTGTATGAATTAAGAAATATTTAATGACAACCTCATGGTAAAAAGTTCGATGGCGCTGATCATAACGACGTTTTACTTATTTGTAGAGATGGGCAGTGGGTAAATACCCAAAGGGTAAATACCCGGTAAATTGGGTAAATACCCATTTGTAGGTATTTATTTCGGTATTTACTATATTGAATCGGTAATACAACATCTTAAACCCTATTTCCGGGTTTCTGTTATCAAATCGATTTAGAATGGATAGATTTACGATACTTTAAAAACGTGGGTAAATACCCGAGTTTTTACCCAAAAATTGGGTATAAACTCATTAACTGCCGAACCACTTGACATAGGCGGCCAAAACTTTGCATACATGTTTTTAATGTCAAAGCAACTATAGAAATCTAAAATGGGGACCCTGGGTCCAAGTTTTGATATAGCCCCCATATAACCGTATCTCCTGATTCAGGGTATTTCTTGTCTATTAGACACATTTTACAATCAAATTGGCTGTAATTTGGCACAGAATGTACTTTTTGGGTACCAAATGCCCATGCAAAAATGTATGTACGTTTACTGGTAGCCCCCATACAAAGGTACCCCTATTTTGAGTATTTACCCAAAAATTGGGTATAAACTCATTAAATGCCGAACCACTTAATATAGGCGGCCAAAATTTTGCAAATACAAACCCAGGTATTTACCCACGTCTTTAAAGTATCTAAAAACTATCCATTCTAAATCGATTTGATAACATAAACCCGGAAATAGTGTGTAAGATGTTGTATTACCGATTCAATATAGTAAATAGGGGAGACTGGGGCACCTTCGGCATCGGGGCACCTTCGGTAATCGCGTTTTCAATATGATACATGGGTTTTTGTATTTTTATAGATGTTTATGTAATTTTTCAATTCCATTTCGTAAGTATTTCGTGTATAAACTTTTTAATTTTTTAAGACAATATTATTAAAAAGTGGTTAACTACGATGTGTATTATTATAGAAAT